TAATTAAAAAAACCCAAAGAAACTGAAAATTAAATTCAGTGACATAAAAACTGAAGTCAGTGACATTATGCTAATTTCTTCTACCTAGAAGACCTTTTATAGGTCAGATATTCATTAGAGAGGTTTAAAATTGTCAAACTATACTGAAGAAGCAGAGTAATTTAAAATCAAGTAGGCCATGCAATGCAGGATAATTTGGCATGCAACTGATTTGAATATTTTGGGTGTTTTTAGAATCAAAGAAACCTTCAAGATGGGATGTGTCAGATAAGGAGAAGGAGAAAAAAGATTCTATCAGTGAATTCATTAGTCTTGCTAGATCAAAAGCTGATGTTCAGCAGCAGCCACCGGTGCCAGCAAGAGAAGAATGTGGAACTGAGCCAAGTGAAACTCTTCCCACTGAGGTGAGTTAACAACAGTGTTTGAACTTAAAGGGAAGTAGCTGTAAACCTTCACAGCCCTGAAATAAGATTGGGTAATGTATGAATTGATTTAATACAAATCAGTTTGCAGAAGAGCCAACTCGGGATAAGCAAAGATGTGAGATTGTACTTTGAAGAATTTTGAGGTTATAACTCTGAGATGTAAAACATTTACAACATACAAGGACAGCAGGTATGACTGTACTTGAAGTAGCAGCTTCAGAGAAGATAAAACGTAGCTCAGCAGTCTGGGAGTTAAATTCAGTCCCTTATACTCAGGTTGCTCACAGGCACAGAATATATTTTTTTCTGCTTTGAGTGGAGGAGGATGCATGCTTTGGGGAGAAAGGCGATGTCTTCCTTTTGCTTAAATTTAGTAGTTGTATAATTGAAGTTTGAATTAATGAATTAAAATTTATATTATATGTGGATCTATTTTCAACTGGCTGTGTAGCGCACAAATTGCACTTCCCTTTGCAGGACATTGACTTAGCTTAGTAGTGTTTCAGAGTTTTACTATTTTGGACTAGCAGCTCCTAAGATAGTCTATTTCACAGCTATTGTGATATTTGAGTGTTTTATAAACACATGTCAGCATGTTTGAAGTTATTGCTTAACAGAGAGATTGTTACTTTCTGTAGTGTTTAATACAGTTTGTTATGACACTGTTTTGCAGGTAGCTAATGAAGATAAGGATCAGGAAGAAGAAAGCAGACCATCCATGGACTTATTTAAGGCCATCTTTGTGAGTTCCTCAGATGAAAAATCATCTTCCTCTGAAGAAGAGAGTGATGAAGAACAGCAACCAGCTACTTCGGTAATAGATTCAGAAACCACCAAGCAAGCTGATTTACCAGACGGTTCTTCATCTGATATACAAGGTAGTACTTAATGCATGTTCATTTTTATAAATACCTTGTAAAAGCTTCATTTATGAATCAAGTACTCCAGGACTGCTAGGGCAGTGCTATGCTCCTGTGCAGGTCATCTGGCACTGGTGGAGCTGGCCATGTAGACCTGAATAAGGCCTTGCATGTTACAGTGGTATTTACGTTGTCATGTGTCTTGCATAGATTTTACAAGCAAACTGCCTTATGGAATATGCTTGTTAAACACTGAGGGGGAAGAAACCATCTAATGTTAGAGCATACATTACCGAGAAATACAGGGAAACTTTTATACCTATGACAAATTGCAAGATAGATCGATAAATTATTACTGTCTTGTGGTGGATATTTGATAGATTCAGAAATAAATAACTTGCATTTCATTGATAATTAAGTTCACTCTTTAAATATTGACATTCCAGTAAAATATAAGGTTGAAATCATTTTACTAAGACATCAAAAAGTTGCATTTTATTTGTATTCTAGTTATAAAAGTTGCCAGAATACTTCCACAAGAGAGGGAGAAGACCAGTCTTTTACTCTACTTTCTAGTAAACTTTAGTAAGCGACCTGTAAAAACTTCCCATGTTTTCAGGATGTCATTAAATTAACAAAATATACACTATACTTCACTTACAATGGAAATACTTTGTCCACTTACTGTCACAGTTGGTTCTCTTAACGTCTAACTTTCAGATTAACTTTATCCTTCTTGTGGAGTCTTTTTTTTCATTCTAAGTAATGGAGAAGTAGTACTGTGCTACTAAATAAAAGCAAACACATGCACTGGTATTTATTTAATTAGTAGTTGTATAGTGTAAAAGGTTAATTTTGATTAAAAAGAAAAAAAAAACAAACCAAACCAATATGTTGACATGTTTCAGAATGTCAGCTATCCAGCTGGCCAAAGCAGTCCACAGAGATATATAATGCTGATCAATTTGCTTTCTTAGAGGTTTTTAGAAAGCCTCCTTTAACTTTCTTCAGCACTTCTGGGAAAAAGTGTTAACTTATTTTCTTTTGAAATAAAGAAGTTTTGGTTTGGTTTTTTTTTGTTTGGTTTTTTTTTTTTGTAGAGAATGTGGCTGCTACAACTGATCCTGGCATTTCTTTGTTGCCTACTTCAAAGCAGGAACTGGATGCAACAGAGGAATTTGGACCAAAGTTGCCTCCAGCTTTTTCTTCTGGTAGGTTCTGTAGACTTCTAGTGTGTAAATTCTGCATACTGAAGTTGTATGTGAGATATATGATACTTCTCTTTAAAAAACATTGGTGAATAGGCACTTTACCTCTTAATGCCCATGTCAAACTGGTATCAGCAAATGCTTTGTTACCATGCTGTGATCCACTAGCAGGAACCTCTTTGCCTGCATACCAATTTTGTTGTAGCTCTATAGAGGCAATGATAAAAAATTGTAGTGAAAATACAGGACCAGCAATTTCTTTTAATAACAGATTGCAAAGGCATTTAATTACAGTAGGAAGGTTGCGGTTAGGAGTTTGACATTTCATTTCCATTTGAAAGTTTAGGGTTTTTTTTAATATTACTTTTAATCTAATAGGATAGCTTTCGAATTTATTTATTAAATTACCTTTTTTGTCTTTTTTTTTTTGTTTATTTCCTCATTTGCTTTGTTCTTTAGGCCCTACTTGGCAACAAGAACCAGTGGTGCCAGCAAGTTTTCCTGGGCCTAGTAGGAAAGAAAAACATAAAAAGCACAGAGAGAAACACAAGACTAAGAGAGAACACAAACAAAAAAAGGAAAAGGTATTTAATTTAAATAAACAGTTTATTGATTCTTTGATCTGCCAGTCAAAATTTTTTATTGTTTATGATAGGTTGTAGAAAGTAGGTATACTGGGACTAGAATTGAAGCAACTGAGTTTCTCAGGTATCTTGAAACCTGTATCCAACTAGAGTGCTGCTTTTTCTGCAGACACAGTGTGACTACAGACATAATATTGTGGGTAGTCTAATGTCGCACGCTGAAGATGCCAGGCATGTTCTGAGAACTGCGTATAATTCATGGCTTGTATACAAATAATAATGAAATTTATATTTTAGGGGGGTTGAGTGTTTGGGATGAAATGTGTGAGTTTGGTACATAATTCTTATCTCAGTCCGGGTAGTGGAAAAGAGTGATTGTTAAGTGTTCAGTTAAGCTTGGAGTCTACACTGAAATCACCTTTTTGCTGTTGCTGCCTTGCAGAAAAACCCAAGTCTTTCACAATGAAATAAGGGATTATTTCTCTTTTTACAGAAAAAGAAACATAAGAAACAGAAAAACAAAGGAAAACACAAGAATAAAAAATCAGAAAAAGACAGCAGCTCAGACACTGCAGATAGCAGTGACAGCCTTAGTGATACAGATACCCCAGGCTTGTCACCCAAAGAACTTCTAAGAAGGTAAACAGAAAGTTTGCTTAAACACTTGTAAATATTGCAGTGGACAACTAAAACTTTAATGTATGAGTTGTCATTCTAGTGAACCTATTTGCAACAAATATGCAGCCAGTCTCTTTATAAAATACTTTTTTTTTTTTTTTTTTTTAAATAAAGTGAGGAAAGATACAAATATTATAGGGTAGAAGCCTCTTGAGGTAAAGGGCACCAAACACAACTCTGCTAGTAAATGGAGGTTATAGTTAAAGATGACTGATATTTTTGGAAGGTATTTTGAATGGCACTTAAAAATTGACTAAGTGCAGGTGATGATTCGTGTTTCTGTTACTTTGTCTGGTTCACTTTACTTGGAGACATTGAAAGCAACATTATCTGCTTCAGAATGTTTTGAGTCTGCTTCAGTTTGTTGATAATTAGTGAAAGATCCGATTCAGATAGATCCATTGTGTGGCATTGATGCTTAAGATAATTCTGGGCTGGAGCACGGAGCAGTAAAGCAAGCAGAACAATGCTCAACTTGGATACATGTCTGCTAAATTTAGACTGTGCTGTTACATTTTTATAAACTACAGACTTTGACATAGTGCCAACAGAAATGTGAAAATTGAACGATTCGCAATTTCATTTTGCTCACACACTTGAACTAAAGTACAAACAAAAGTAACTGTCTGCAGTTCAGATCACAGTCAACTTCAAGTGCATCCCATGTGGAACAGCCACGGCATTGGCTTCTGTTTAGCATCTCTTACTAGCTGAAGGAGAGTTCTCAACATACTTGTTGAAATACCACATCCAGCTGGCCTAATGGCAAAATGATTGGGGTCTAGGTGTTCAGTGGAATGGACATGTACCAGCAGAAAGGCTGGCATTCCTTTGGAACTGAGCTTCAGTTATGTATTAGTGTTTTCTTGTTAAAAAAACCAAGCTACTTCTCTGATTTCTAAACAGCTAAAATATGTTTTTATGCATTTTGCACAGAATAGTTGGACTTCTTTGTACAAGCAGTTATTTTGGAAGTTTTTGCATTTGCATGTCTTTTTAGACCGCTGAGAAAATGTTTTTTTTTCTCATGTAACTCACATCTGTCTATTAAACTAAGGTTTAAGAAACTGCTCGCGTAATTAAATGTTCTTAATGTTGCATGTTACTATTCAGTCTGATCTCTTTTTTTTCTTTCTCCCTTTTAGATTAAAACAACTTCAGTATTGAAGAGGTAGCTTGCTTGCTTCAGTGCTGTATGACTTTTGATCTCAAATTTTTGATCTCCTCCATGATGGTAGATCAATCATGTGTACTTTGAAGCACTGTAGACACTGTATTCATATTGAATTTGTTTCAAAGTAGATGTGCATATGTGTATTTTGTGATGCTTCACGTGTTCAAAATGTATGGATTATGGAATGTTGAAAAGACTCCTTTCTGGGCAGCATAATCTGACATACTGCAGGCTCTGTTTTAATTAACATGAAACAAGATATTTTAATAAACTTAAGTATTAAGAATCATTTTTGTGTGGTACGTCATTGCCTAGGACCTCTAAAATGCTGGAGAGTAAATTTTCAGTCTGAATTAAGAAGTTAAAAATTAAAGCAATGTAAAATTTGTATGAGGTGCAAGTATTTCTAATGAGTCTAATGCAGAATTTCACATTGCAGTTTTGCAGTGTCTGGCTGTACTTCGAGTTACTTTTACATCTCCAAATTGTGTATAGCATTTACCATAGCAGATCTAAACTAATAAACCATCGCTTTGACACACTATTAAGGCTAATGTACTAAAATATTAGTACTATAATCTGCCTTATTTTGTGCAGTTACAATGAAAACTGTTTATACCACTTTTCTTTTTGTTTCATGCCTACATTTCAAAAGCAATTGTCATCTTGTAGAATTATTTTAATATCAACTATGAAATAATACTGAACTGCTCTTTGAATGATCAGGCTGTTAAAATAGACCCACAGAACTTCTCTTTCCAGTGTGCATGGAAGCCAAGAATATTCCTGCTTAAAACTATGAACAAAAGCCTTAAACTGAAATTCACTGTTGTTGATGGTGGTTCTCTGGGGCCCGATTTAATCTATTTTTTGGTATCCACAGCTTTGTGACAGCTCTTGATGACAGCAAAGTGATACAAGTCTTGTGTTGACACATGGATTGACTGGTTTTAAATGTAAATTCAATGAGAAAACTTGAGTGATGGAAGGAAAAATAAAATTTGGCCTCGAGGTTGCCTCCGTTACAGGACAAAAAATAAACCCGACAGCTGCATTACACGGTAGTTGCTTGGAGCTTGCCCCCGTGTTAAGGCGTCGGAGGTGTTTTGGCGGGAGCAGTAAGGCAGCC